CCCTTTGGATTTCTACTTGGAAATATCAATGGTGGATGGTAGGCCACTGACCTCTGTGGGGACAAGCCATGTGGCAAGAGTTATAGGAACTGGGGCATGAGAAAGAAGTAACCCTTTTTCATGTCACAGGACATTTTCCCCTAGCCAGTCCAGGAAATGATGAAGCCAATGCCTTGGCTAAGGTAAGATGGCTGGAGAGAGCCCCAGCTACTGATGTAGCCCAGTGGTTACATCGATGAATGCAGCTTGCTAGCAGCAAAACCATGTGGGTGGCGGCTCAAAGATGGGCCCTGCCTATCAAATGGGAAGACGTAGTAAATGCCTGTCATGCTTGCCCGGTATGTGCTCAAGAGAGTCCACATGCCCAGCGGGTACCCCATATAAATGGGCAAATAACTCGACAAAGGGTGCCCCTGACTCGATGGCAAGTGGCCTTTGTCGGACCACTGCCAGGTCAGAGAATTTCAGATACATCTTCACTGCTGTCGATACAGCTACTGGTCTTCTGTGTGTATGGCCTTGTAAGGCCCCAGACCAGGTAAACATTGTGAAGGCATTGAATAGCCTTACAGCCATGTATGGCCGGTCTATAGTCATAGACAGTGACAATGGAACCCACTTTACTGGACATGGGGTTCAGAGGTGGGCTCCCCAGTTGTCTATTCAGTGGAAGTTACATGTGCCATATCATCCTCAGGCAGCAGGAACGATTGAGTGATACAATCATCTTTTAAAAAAGGGGCTAATGCTATCTGCCCAACCCCCTTCCCTGAAGGGGTGGACAGGGCGGTTATGGCCGACTGTCAGAATTCTAAATGAGAGGCCCCACAAGGGCAGACCCTCTCCAGTGGAAGCTCTGTTGCATAGGGCTGCAGCACCTGTACAGCTGCAAGTCACTACTAGAGACGAGCTTTTGAAGCCAGGATATGGCAGGAATGGAAATATTCTCTTACCAGCCCCAACCTGTTTACAACAGAAACAGACAGTACGATGGGAAAGGCCTTGGAGAATAGAAGCCCCCATATACACTGGGTAGGCCTAATAGGGCCTTGGGGAAAGGATTAGGAGAAGGCTTGCAAGTTTCACCTTGGGTGACAAGTGCCTGGTCTCCTCGAGTAAAGGTAACATGGCCTGGAACAGGTGAGCACTCTATTCCAAAGGGCACACTTGTATTATCATTATGGCCAATTATAAGTTCCCCAATACTGTCACATGTAGAACCTACAGATCCAACAGTGTTAGCAGATGAAGTATGGTAGCATGAGCCAGGTGAGATACCTACTCCTGCAACCATCCTTCCTCAGGATGGCAAACTGGCATGTATCTTACCAGAGGGGCGAGAACTTCCCCTATTGGTACCAATAACCCTTCTGTCTTTTCGCCAATAGTATTCTGGCTGCAGGCACTGCACCAGAGTCATGTGATCAATGCATTGGCCTGCTGAATATGAATTGAACTTCCCATCAGTATGACTGCAGTATTTGCATGGAGGATCACACCAATGGTGACTGCTAACCGGACATACGTGGCTGACAGTTAAAAGGACAGAACGGTTAAAAGGATAGAACTGCAAACCTTAAGGCATAT